AGAGAGAGAGAGAGAGAGATTTGATCAGAACACAACGCACTGTATATAAGAGTCATTAAACGATTCTACTAAATACTTCCCAGGAAGTATATTTTGAGCTCGATTGCCCGTCCTCGGAATTTCAGTAGAGATTTGAACCAGCCACAACGAAGAGCAGCATGTTATTAACTGAGCTTTGGGTGAGCAGTAGAAGTCATTCTGTTTCATACAAACACATAAACAAAAATATGTGTGTAAGGTCTCTTCATAAAAAAATTGGCTATTGGATGATACAATTCTCCTGAGGAAACCCATATCGATACCTACCTTGTGATGTTTGTCTGCGTCCACGAATGGCGAAGTAGATTCCGATACCAATAGACACGAGCAACATGGCGGCGAAGACGACATAGTCCCAAGCGGTGAATTCGTTGCGTACCTGGGCCATTGTGACGTCACAAAAGAGCAGGCAATCTGTTCAAATTATGTTCACTAAACACGGTGCAAGTACTGTTAGAATTCGCGGGAGGTTTCCTATCCCCCAGGTCCTCTGTTAACAGTTTATATAAGTTTTTTTGTTTGTTTGTTATTTGTCGTCCGTACGCTTTTCTGGAATACGGTATTGATCTATTTTCACAGTTCGTTTTCTTTTGCTTTATTCAGCTGGGTATCGTGCAGCGGTAAGACCGTGCTGAAAACTTAAATAGGAGTTTGGTTGGAAAGCTGCCTGAAACTACCTTTTGGTTTGTTTGTTTTTTCAATTATTCAGTCTAATCTTGAAATACAGTCCTAAATCATTTCATGGGGATAGTTTAGTTAGATGTTCTAACGTTCGCATGTCTTTCTACGAGGAGCAAAATAGCAGGTCTTTATTATACTTTCTTTACAAAAATATTTATTGCGTTTTGACTGTTCATGCGTGGCGCGGCTCAAACTTGACAGTCACTGTTTCTGAAATAAACACACAAGGGGAAATGTGTCATACTTTAAACATATTAGTGTAAAGAAACACCATTTTTTTTTCCAAAAAATATGAATCAAATGGATTTTCACAATAAGGATCGAGAAAAGAGGAAAAAAGTCTTTTCCAGACTTGTTTTTTTAATTTATTTACTTTTTTTGTTTTGTTTGTTTGTTGGGGGGTTGTTTTGTTTTGTTTTTTGTTTTGGGTTTTTTGTTTGTTTTTGTTGATGTTTTGCTTTCCTTGAATGTAAAGTTATTTTTCTTTTATCTAAAAAGTTTCTTATTAGATGAGAGAGAAAAATAACGCAGTCCGATACAGGCATGGCTATTAAAACAGGATCTTAAAATTATTTACAGTTTGTCTATGTATATCTTAAGTACCATAGCTGCCGCTGAGTCGCCGAAAGAAAGTTAAAGTCCATTCACGTTCTCTTTCACAGAGCACTAAACATTTTCCACACATTTCTTCAATATGGTATGATAACGACCAAGGTGAGAGTTTGGCCAAATCCGAATTGAGTTATCATTGCATTCCTTACACGACAGCCTACCACCACATAATAAAACAGCCGAACTTCCCATTAGATTTTGGAGTCATAAAAATAAAACCTTTCAGGGCTGAGCAAGTTAAAAAGATTAAATTGTATTTTCTTTTCAATTGTTCTGAATATTATGATATACGACCTAGTAATACTATAGTAGCAAATTAACAGTATTCAAAAACTATGGGATCATGTTCAGTTCGAATTCAAATCAGGTGCATTGTAAGCCGACAAATAATTTAAAGAAAAACGGGTTTGTTTGGAGAGAAAAACCGCTCTTGCAATAGGGTCTCTGTCTTGTTTATCCACATGGGCCAAAAGTATGTACGGGAATCTGTGAATGATCTACTCTGAGACATGCTGCATTCCTTTCAGCCAGTGTCCGCTAAGGGGGTTTACACGTTGAATTGATGTGAGATATAGATCTAGATTAAGGCTTGCATAAAGAGGATCCAAGTTTTCTTGAGCAAGTGTCTCATGAAGTTCTGGGGATCACAAGGACAGACAGGATCACCAACGAGGAAGAGTTAAAGAAAACAAGACAGAGCCCAGTCAGAGCTTGTCAGAGGATCAAAATATTTACGCAGTTGGATAAGTTCCTCAAAATAATTCTGCTTTTTAACAGTTTATTGATATAATCCTTTTATGACGTCAATATTGTAGTGGTCAGGTTGGCTTTACAACCGCAAAGTGAGTTCGAAATCCGTCAGGGGTCCGATGTTTTGTCCTTGGGAAAGGCACTATACATACAAATATATTTTTCTTCACTCCGCCCTGATGGCAATAATACCTGCCACTTTGTCTGTGTTTTAGCACTTAATCGGCTGTTAGCTCTATTTGCTTTCCGGGCAGCCGAGAATGTTTCTGAGTGTACCAGGGTCTTCTGATCATAATATTATTATTTTGCCCGTATATTTATTGTAAAGTGCATAGAGCTTGCTGTTGAGCGGGGATATGCTATACAAATGCTATACAACTACGATATGATTTTTTTTTTAAACGACCCCACGCTATCATAGCGCGTAGGCATTTTTCTGGAGTCTTCGGCACGACCGAGTCAAACCTACAAAAATGCTGTCCTTGGGGAAAATTTGATTAAAAATAGTGTATACATACATAGACTCTCTCTAAGCACACGCTAGATAGCAATACAAAATAAAGTATAGCTACTTTAGACACACAGGACACCATTGCTGGTCACCACTGCATAGCACACTCGTTTTGAGCTGTACCTGAGAAATGTTGTTAAAGGACACACTCCGGTTTCCTCCCGTTTAAAGTTTAGTTCTCAGGCAAATAATAGCAAGGTATAGTGCTATTTGCTTTGGATGCAAAGAGATTCTTCTGTTATGCGTCTGAGGAAGACAATTATAATAATATTCTATGTAGTTGCATTTCTTATTCTCGGTCACTTTTAAAGTAGCTTTTATTTTCTGTGCATGCGATATCGCTCAATTGTGTCACTTGATTTTCTTTAGCCGTTTCATTTTCAGATTTGTTTGTTAACATAGGAAAATAATTCAACCTCCAACTTTTTTCCTTTCATTGTACCCCAATCTCCTGCCTTTGAAGGCCACGTCCTATTGTATAAACGCTCTCCGTGAGTGGGTTTAGGATCATACACGTGACGAGTTTACATTAATCAACTCTTTCTTGACGTAAATTGCAAACCATTTTCCTTAAAATGGTAAACTTTAATGTGGCTCTTTCGGATTTATGTCCTGAGAAAGTTAAAGCAACACACATTTTAAAAAACATATTTACTGTACACCCTAATTGGCACAATTTACGTCATTAAGGAGGCCGGCTGCTTGGATCATTTCGGTCGGGACCACCTCAGGCTGAAAATGGATACAGCATCCCAGCAGACCAATGGAAATACTGGGAATCACATTCACGTCTCCTCCGTGGAACGGCGAAAATCTGTCTACTCATTACGACACAGAAACCGACCAGGACTACTCAGTAAAAGTTAAAATGAAAAAATACTTTTGTTAGAATATAAGTGTGTACCCTGAGGAAGAAATCCAGAGAGTTTAGGAGAACTCAAAGAGACTCAGTTCCCACCACGCATGTGACAATCCTCAGATCGTAACTGGCTCTCTCCCCGTCCCTGTCTGTAAAAGAGGCACTGCCATATACACCCAGGTGCCTGCCGCTTTTACTTAATCCCTGCTACCGCCAATTCCCAAGCAAGTCATTCATATATCATTATACTACAAAGGTGTCATTTATTTGCTTTCTTTACTTCATTTCGACTTGCAAATAGTCATGGGCTGTGACGCTGCAGAAACACAAGAGTTTGGAGGCCATGGTACACATTTTGATTCATTTCCTTTGAATTATATGCTTTTGCAACACCCAAAGTATATACAAACAAGGTTCTATTCTTCACAGTTGCGTGATAAAGATTTTTTTTTTTATTTAAAGCATAAAAGCAGCGTGTCAATGAGATAGCTCTAAAGTGGGCGGTCAATGAGGTGTATCCTTCGGCAAGAATCCCGAACATTAGTCCAGTTAAGCATGCTGCACAAAGACCACCAAGAATTATGTCAGTGTACATTATCTGACGACTGCACTGTGCTTTGTGTAGTTCCATTGTACACTAAGGGAGTCCATTCATATACCAGTCTGACTCAAATTATTTCCACTGGGATAGACGAAAGTTTTATTTTTTACTTCTTTCTTTGTGATAAAGGTCTACCTCAGCTCTCTCTCTCTCTCTCTCTCTCTCTCTCT